GGACTGACCGGGGAAATCTCCAGTCAGTCTGCCTGGTGGCATTAATCGTATTAACCGTCAAGTGCCAAAAAATAATCGATTAATGTTTTTCTGACTATTAATTGCAGCCAATACGATTATGCCCAACCCTACCAATGGGACACATTGGAGGCAATGAACAGTTCCATGTCTTGCCCAGGAACATTCAGGACTGCATACGGGTGGAATCGAACCTCCAACTACCAATTTTAATTTCCCTACGACTATCAATTTTAATTTCCCTACAGGAATCTTCCCAAGGGATCAAAAAAGTTATATCTAATCTTATCTAATATGGTCAGAGGATTACTGCTCTAACCACTGGTCCACTGCAGCTCCACTCAGTTTCACTCTGCTTATGAAACTCCATCACTTGGACTTCAACAAAAACATTTAACCAGCTTAATTATTTGTTTAAGTCTTGTGTACCTTCTCCAGAAACAGGTGCTTGTATGTCTCCATGCCCATAGCGTGCTGGTCCTTACTGCGAACCTGATTAAGGAACCAGTGTAGCGCATCATCATAGCATTCAGCGTCCTCCACCAGACAGTGCCAGAGGATGTCCACCTGCTCCAGACTCAGTCCTGACACATAAACACAGCTATAGCTCAGTCGAATCTATGTAGGAATCTCTGCCTCTGGGTAAAAAGCTTTACACTTTTTTTACACTTTAAATACACATTGAAATACAGAGGAGCAAATATGATTATTATTACAAAGTATCCTTTTATTAGTCACAAATACTTTAAAACTTCTCAGACTTTGAATACATAAATTTAATTTTCAACTCAGGCTACAAAATAAAGCTTATTTTAGCAACCTTTCTTTACAAGCTTAGGCAAAACTACAGTAAAATCTGGTTTTATCCGAGAGAAACAAGAAAGTCAGCAAGGCCAATAAAGTTTTTTCTCTGTTTAGGCCAAATTTTGTCTGTTTTTTACATTGCTTGGTTACTATTTTTAAATGCACACACATTTCAGTTTTACAATTTCATAACCTGTGGAATATGACGAGAAACAAAAACATGAACTTTTATTTATGTGCTAATGTTATTAAATCATATAAATTGTACTTCAAATGCTCAGGAATCAGTTTAATTGTTGTCCTGTTGGTTAAAATTACCATTAATTTACATTCATTATAAATAAACATTTCTGAGAATAAATCACATTAAATTCGATCAGAAAATAAAATCTAAACTTTTTTTTTTGGRGGGGGGGGGGGGGTCAAGACATCTTTAAAACAAAGACACACACCAATTTAAGAATAGTTTGTCCACTAACCAAAAGCAAAGACTTACTGAAGTGATCTGGTGATCCCAGCGTTGAGAAAACACAGGTGAGGAACTGCAGGCGGACCTGGACCTCTGCACTGTGACTGTATCTGCAACAGCAGGTAGAACAGGGTCAGGATGTTTTGTAGTTACAGGTGTCAATTTCTAATACTGTATGTTGGCATCAAGATACTACACTGACACCATGACATAGTCACCATGACATAGTTAAGACTTTACACAAAATTCTAAAACCATATCATCAATTGTTGAAACTACAGAATAAATCTGCAGAGTTAAGACAAGTTTAACCTTTAGGAGGACATCTCTGACAAACCCATAGGGTTGTGTATCAGCAAGAATTTGGTGATWTGWTACAACCCCAATTTCTAATGGTATTGGAGCATTGTGTAAGACATAGGCTGTGTCCAAATTCAGAGGCTGCGTCCTCCAAAAGGACCCAACCTACCCGGTCTAGGTGGGCCAGGTCCTTTGTCGATCGCAAAGACCAGAAGAAAGTGGCTGTGAATTTGGACGGTCAAGTACCCCGGCCTATTTTCGACCACCTGGCAACCGTGTCGGTCGCTGTTTCAAATGGAGATGGAGATCAAAATGCTTAGCGTCTTTCTTATTTTTGAGGAGTTTCAACAGTTTTACCGCCATTGCCGGCGTATTTTATATGTCAGGCTGAGAGATTATCATATCCATGTAAAGTCATAGTTGTTTTGCTGGCAATTTTAGTTAAGGCCCTGTCACACTACGATGTTTTAGACAACTTATGCCACTTTTGTCCAACACATTGCTGTAATTTGTACAAGTTTGGTGTAAGTTGTGAATATGTTGTCAGAATGACAATAATTTTGGACATGCTCAAAATTTGTTAGCTTATGCTGATGTGCTGCTGATAAATAAGGCAAAACAGGCATGCTATGGATAATTTATGCATCASTTCACTTTTGTTTCAGGTAAGTTCTTCATTTGTTATTCATAAGTGATGTAAGTCCAACACCAGCGGGACACTTCTGAAGCAGCACGCAACTTTTTTTTAAACCCCTGAGTAGCTACCATCAATAAAGGCTCATGTGAAGTCAGTTTAACTTTTTCATGATTACTATGTATTATAATAATTATACAGGTAAACAGAATTCATGCACAAAAGCAAAACATTTTATTTTTCATATTTCATCAATAAAAGCATTGATCAAAAATAATGTCCCATCTGGTTTTAAAGGGGACCTAATTATGCAAAATTCACTTTTTAAAGGTTTTTTTTACTCAACTTTGGGTATGTACTTCTTAAAAAAACAGTCCTAGAACCAAAAAAATGCACCCAGAGGCATATTTACTGTAAGTAAATGTATTTTTAAAAAGGCACAGTATGTAGGATTTTTGTTTTCAGCGACATCTAGTGGTTGAATCATCCTCCCTGGTCCTCCCCCCACCCCCCGCTTCCAAACGCAAAGGAGTTGCTACGGTGTCTCTCAGGTGTCAAAAACCTTTGATAATTCCAACCG